CCCCCACCCAGAAGATAGCTAAACATAATGGACACTTTCTTGGTTTATGTTGAAGCGTTTCCCTCATATATATCTTTTTACCAAGTCAATCTGAACAGTAAAAGGCCAGCTATTGGTTGAAAAACTAAAAATAACTTTAAAAATTCTGAAGAGTAAGATAAAGGATACTGTGCAAATAGGTAGGTGTTTCTTTAGAGCTAAAGAAATTGTGAGTATTTCTATGAGATTTATTGACATAGATTACTTACAACTATGTTTGCAAGACAATACTTGTTACAACTTATTTACAGTATTAGATTCATAACAGCAGCTGGAATTCATATGCTATTGTTGTTAAGTACTATGTATTTTATATTGTCATGTATTCTTTCTTTGAAATAACAGTGATTTATTTGAAAAGAAAACACAACTCAAATTTGTTTAAAATTTGTAATTGTGATATTCTCAACTCCTTTCTATTTTACTTTCTTGGGCTGCGCTTGCCTCCAAACCAAATACATACAGCTATGTTTAAGACTCAGTCAAGAGAAAATTGTACTTTTTAAAGATAAAAAAGGCTATTTCATTCACATCTTGTTATGCTAATGTAAGCAATACTAAACCATTGACATTTGTAGAGCGTATTTGCTCAGTAGGCAATGAAGTACATGAAACATTCTAATTAAGCTCTAAAATGGGTAGCAAAGTGCAATCCGGTTAATCAGTCGCTATATTAAGTGGACTTACTGCTGCTTTCATTAACTAATTGAGGAAAAAAAAGTTACTGTTAACTGAATGAACTACCACTTACTAATGCAAACACTACAGGCTCCTTATCTGGAATACACACAGTCTAAAAAATGTTCTGTACAACTATTCAGATAACAGTAACCTATGGCAGTTTCAATTTGCATAAATTTGAAGTGTTTTACTGACTATTTTGTCTGCTATGCAATAGAGTCTGACCCAAAGAGATTGGGAACAGCCAATTGCCATTTCAATCTGGAGTTCAGGGGACTCTCCTTACTTCTTTTTCATCTCTTTCCAGGAAGAAAACCAGGATAGAGCTGCTCATCTCAGCTCTCTTAGGAAGCTGCATGCATGTAGCCAGACAGCTTATCAATGTCTGAGACAGCAGCACGGAAAATGTTGGAGACCTGTTTTTTGCAAAGCCAAGTTTTAAAAGAAATGGCTCTTCCATTTTACTATTTTGTAACCAAAGAAATGACAGCTGGTTTCTTTTGACAAGAGATGTTACTGTGAAAACTTTGAAGTTCTGAAGAGCACTAAATCTGCTATCTCTCAGCAGATAATCGTACCTGGAGGAGTTGAATAATAAAGCAATAAACAGTGCCATATAAATCTCTTTGTATCCCCTCCCCAAATGAACTGGAGTGGGGAAACCATCAGTATGAGAGGACAGGAAGCATTTTCCTTGGTCTTCTCTAAAGACGACAGAACTTGCAATCTGTCCTCTCCCTTTACACTTCGCCAGATAGGTTGTGTGTGGCTATGCAAGTATATTTCTTCTTTAGTCTGACTTCAAAGCTACAGTTGGCTATGAAGCAATAAAGGCATAATTATTATTCCTAGTTCAATTAATCTAAAGTATTCCAGCTATGGATTAAGCAAAAACCACTCACTTCTTGCCTTTTTCTCTTTCTTCTCAATGTAAAGGACTAAAGGAAATAATTAATGTAGAATTGAAAAGAAGACATGTCTAGAAAATTTTCAATGTTCTTTGCCTGTATATTTACACACTTTGGGACAGAAGTTGGCAGCAGGTGTGTTGTCCAGATATCAAATCCTAGTCCATCCCTACATTTTGCCAGGTGAGGACATCTTAGTTGGCAGCAAGCCAGAATAGGGACTCTAAGGATCAGCAATTGAGGCAGAAAATGTTATGTTGCTTTAGTTTTTTGCCGGCTCAAGAATTAATAAGAAAAGAAAGATGGGACATAGGAATAACTGAGCATGAGTCATAGATCTGTTGTCAAAGTTTTCCAAGATAGAGAATTCTAAAACTCCCCAAGGATATGGGCAATATTACATTTGCTATAGTCATAGCAAAAGTGATTTCTATAAAGAAGATCATGTTTATGTTATGCCAAATTAAGCCACAGGTATTCATACAATAAGTCCCATTTACATGAAGTGGCAGAAGAAGGATTTAGTACTTTTGAGAAAAGTTGAATATGTGGCCAAAATGAAATCCTTCCACTCACATGCTTAGCAATGGAAGTACTGGTCCCAATTGAGGTCATAAGTTGAGGACTACCTGTAAAACTTACCTGTATATACAAAAGTGCTATATAGTATCAATAACTTTAGTCACTTATGAAACTCATGCTTGCATGTGATTAGCATTTAAAAATTAGCATGAATCAAGATGTATAAATGAAATATATATAAGATGTATAAATTCAGGCAAAATTTGTGCAATTATAATACACTTTAATAACTATTCCAGTTAAAACATATGTGCTTGCAATACTATTATTTCTTATTGCAAGTGTACACTACACTACATTAAGGCTGAGTTATGATCATTCAATTCTGAATATGTGTGTAAAGGTGGCAGGAACATTGATTAACTAATAATTAATTGTTTCTAGGAAGACATGTTTCTGTATTAGCCTAATGGTGTGCTCATTTTTAAAATTTCTCATTTTAATATTTTTTAAACGTTTTGACCAAAGCAGACCCTCTTCCCTCTTAAGCATCTCCTGATGTATCATTATAATTCTAATTTCTATTACTATCCGCAACTTCTTATTTTTAACCTGGTATTTTATGAAACAGCACAGATTTAAAGATGACCTACATAGATCACCTTTAAATCAAAATTCAGGATCCTTCCCTGAGCTTTTCAGATTCTGGATGCATGAATGAACTTCATTTCTGAAGTATGAAAAAAGGAATAAAACAAAATCCCTTTGGAATACATAATTTTTTTAAAATAATAGCATGTTCCCTTTTGAACAAGAAATGCAGCACATAGAAAATTTCCTAATTATTACTAAGTATAATACTCATTCAAATAAGAAGTCTAACTTGCTTATTATGTCTTAAAATGCTTTACAAAGTGTACAAATTTGGAAAGTCTATAAAATGATATACAGAGTGCATATCAGGCCTGGATATGCAACAGAAACAACACTGGTCGCTAGTTTTGATGATCTCTAGTGGGAATGTGACTGGGGTATTGGTCCATTCTTGCTCTACTTGACCTTATAAATTGACCATGGGTCCAGGGGTTGGGGTGGGGGGGCACTGCATTGTACTGGTTTATTTCCTGTCTCTGGAACCATTCTTAGTTGAAGCTAATTGGGGGCAAGAGGTCTGAACCCTTGCTTTGCGAGGTCCATCAAGGGTCAGTACTTTCTTTGTTCCTGTTTAACATCTACATGAAACTTCTGGGAGAGATCATCCATCACATTGGGATAAGATATCATCAATATGCTGATGATGTTTGGCCGTACATCTCTGCCTATGGTGAGTTAACCAACGTTACAATTACTCTCTCTTAGTGCCTGAAGGGTATTGAGGTCTGGATGAGGAGCAACAGACTAAAACAGAATCCTGGCAAGATGAAGTGATTCTGGGTTAGGCCTCTTTGGCTCTTAGAGAATTAACATCTTTGGACATGGGTGATGTTGCACTATCCCAGACTACCCCAGACCAATTCAGTGCATAATCATAAACAAGACTCCCTATCATGTTGCCCTAAAAACACTGTTTTGTCAGCAGGCATGGGGCCATGAATGGAGATGAAGCCAATCAAGTGGCTGATTTGATTATGTGGTTGCTGCCATGGGATGGTGTATCATGTGTGTCTGTGTGGTTTATAGGTTTTATCTGGTGGATCTTTAAATATTACAAGCTGCCTGAAGTCGCCCATGTGTGAAATGGCAGCTACAGAAATTTCTTTAATAAATAAATAAATGCTTCTTTATGAAATAAACAATCATACATTTGGACCAATTGCATTACATTCCATAAATAGTTACAATTAACATTACCACACCTTAATGGCTAAGTCACAGTGTTCACTGGCAGTTGTGAGCTGTTCAATATGCCGGTCGACATCTGCCACAGACAAGTTACAGCTGCTCTTCTTTCTCCCGCAGACAACATTCTCCAGTCCTGTCAGCACTCTCTGCAATTCCGAGTTCAAGTCACTACAGGTATCTGAAATAAATAGAATGTGTCAGATGAGCATTGCAGAAGAGACTACCTCTTCATCTTTCTAACGGGATTAGAGAAGAAGAAGAAGGGTGCAGATTCAAATTTTCCTTGAAAATACAGTACTAACATCCTAATCTTGCAACCTACCAATGGTCACCTGACAACTAAGATAAAAGATTAATTCAAATACTATCTTCTTTAATTCAGCCTTAAAGCTCCTATTGCTCGATTTCTATGTAAGGGAAATCAAGGTTGTTTTTTTTTCAGAACAATACAAATGGATGTTGGTTGCCATTATCTTTTGGCTCCCCCCCCCAGCTCTGGGATTTCCTGATAATCTTCTATCCAAGTATTAATCAGATCTGGCTTTGTTTAGATTTTTTGAGACCAGCCAATCAGCCTAAAAGTTGGGAGCCTGATTTTCAACAACACGACAAAACATTAACTTGAGAACCTCAATGGTAAGGTGACTTTGCAAAAAATGTGAAACATCTGCACAATATCACTAAAGCCAACAAATAAGGCAAACCAGAAATCTTCAGTGTAATGTAATTATATTCTTCTAAGCCAGGGGTGTCAAACTGCCGGCCCGTGGGCCAGTTTCATCATACCGGAGCTGCGCCCACCCCATTGCCGGCAATGGCAAAAAAGCTCCGATACGTTGCGCGACGTCACGTGATATTGCGAGTTTGACATGTCTGTTCTAAGTAATCTTTAGCATGATTCACTTATATTTTATTACACCTTATAAGTGTCTGTAATATCAGAGTACTATATTCTCATTACAATTTTTTCAAAAAAGTGAGATGATCTCTGTTTCTGCTTGTACTGAATCTCTGATTACATTTATTATTCTGGATGGTCAGAAGATGAATTGGTATAGTCCACCCACATAATGTTGGTGGTGAGGAATAAACTAAATGCATTCAATAATATACTTATCTTTCATAGGTGACAATAACAAAAGTGTCACGCAAGCAATATATATTCCTACTGAATTTATTGGGTAATGTTTATAGAATCCAAAGTATTTTCACTTATTTTATTTATGATCATGAATAAAAATGAAAGCAATAATATAGTTATGAACTAATAAAACATAATGAAGAATTAACATACAAAAGGGACAAAAGTTAATGAGAAATATTAAATGTTGGCAACTTTCTATACAGTATAAGATAAATGTATAGTATCACTCAAACATCTGTGAGATTGAAGAATACATTAGAAGTATTTTCTGTAAGAATTCTAATAAGAAAACCAGTAGAATTTAACAACTTTAATATGTCAATAGATTGATCCATTTGTAAAAATTGCAGAACTTCCATTTTAGGTCAAGGTAAAATACTGAATCTTGCAATGTAAATCCCCCCCCCCATAGAACAGAGACAGAGGTGGTCTTTGGAAAATCTCCCATAAAAATTATTTGAACCTTTGCAGAATGTCTGTCCTTTTACAGATCCAAATCAAGGAGTGACTTCTACCATTGGGACTGGGCTATGAGGCTGCAGTAAGACAATTCCAAGGCCATGCATTTTTCTTAAGAAGAAATAAACTTGTCAGCAAGGACTAAATGAACAAATGACCCACCCTGGAAAATTAGATTTGGCTGATATTTCTAACTAGCATTAGAACTAGGAAAATTAATTATAGCTTTGGAAGATTCTGGGCATACAACAACAGCTTTTCAAGCCATTTGTTAATTCTAAGCAGCTGTAGATTCAAAATCAATTCCAAGATATGTAAAAGTCTTGGTCTATTCAGCTGGGATACCATTGTTTCTCTGACCATATTTATTACTTAGTAAAGAAAGCCATTTTTTAAAAAATAAACCAACTTGTTTCATCAAAGTAATATGTTGCTATAATTCTGTTGAAAAGTAACCTGAGTCTGGAAGAAAATGACAATATAAATGAATATTGCCTAATCTGGACACTGAAATTAAAATTTTACTTTCACATATATGAACTAAACAGGAGAAGCTTCTTGAATGAAAAGCCTAGTTGTATAGGGAACTATTTGCTAGGTACTGATAAATCTTAGTTTTTCTAAAAGATTTTACTCTGGATGAATTTATAAAAAAGATTTTGTGGCCCCAGCGGCCCGATCTGGGCTCTGGAGACCTGGAAAAGGTCTCCGGAGCCCAGATAGGGCCGTGCCCCCCCCCCCGAAAAATCGTTCCATGGCCATAAATCCAGGCGGCAGAGTCTTTTCCAGGCCTCTGGAGCCCGTATCGGGCCACGGTGGGCTGTGGATGCATCCCCTGGCCTCAGATCGGAGCAGCAGCAAGAACCACGGCAGAGAGGAGACAGACCTTTTCCAGGTGAGTGATCTGCACCTCAGAAGCTCCCTAAAGCAGTTTCTTCTCCCCCCCGGCTCTGTAATGGCTTTCGACTGGAGCTAGAACAATGCATGAGTTCCGGCACCTTTTTTTTTTTTTTTTTTTTTACAAAAAAAGCACTGTATAGATCTATTTGGAAAATTATTGTTTATAGTCTGAAAATGGTGAATAGATTTGAATAAAATTATCTTCAATTGCAGTGTTTCAATGTTCCTTTATATGCTGACTTTTTTTTAGTCACAGCAATTTTGTACATTTTACAGATCCAATCAAACATTTACTTTTCAAATATTTTGCAATAGCTAGGGCAACAGTAATTTAATCAATTTCTTAGCTGAACCAATTTATATGCCATAAAAAACACAGATTTCCACATGTATATTCAGGAAAATTTGAGACACACACTACACAACATACTCTTACCAATAAATTATTGGTAAGTTTAGAAGACATCTTATCTCTCTGAACTAAACATCAGAATCCAGAATCTTTAAAATGTGACTTGATATACTGACTCTTTCTGTCACAAGTTATTTCTACATAGCACATTGGCTATAGGCCCAGACAATGCAACCACAAAACCTGCTGGAGCTTGACAAAAACCATGATTACTAGAGTCATTCTGACACAAACAAATGTCCCTAACACTTCCCAGCTCAGCCAAATGTTATCTGAAACCTGCCATCTGTATAAAAATTATACAGCTTTCGGAAAGCAACAAGTCTTGGAAGAACATTGCTTTTCATTTCCTTTGTTACTGATCTAATATTACTAGCAATCTATGAATTTATACAGTTAATTGCATAAGAAGAAATCTTCAAAAACTAATAATTTAATGTACTATTGAGTAAAATGCTATATTTAAACTAAATTATTTCAGAATATTTTAAAAAAGTAAATGGACAAATGAGAATGATTTACTTCAGCACTTTGCAAATATTTTTAAAAAGGATTACCTCCTATGTTATTTCTGATTTTTTTTACTGCATTTGAATTCTCAAATACAAACATTCTCACTGCAACTTTTGCTGAAATTAATATTCTATACTTATTTCTGGGTATTGATGTTTTATGTGTATTTTAAATACTTGTATTATTAAAAAATAATGTTTGATATTTTTACTTTTCTTTCAACATCATTTTTTGGATGTCATTTTTTCCTTCAAAGAGGCTAGAAAAAATTATTAAATGCAGCTGTTTACCTCACATTTTAAAAGATTAGGAAGGTTTGCTAGTTATTTAAATCTATTGAGATATGGCACTATAAGCTTTATTAAAAAAATAATCAATTTTTTACAACTATAAATATATTCAATATACCAATGTCAGCTGTGACCATAGTTGACTGGTTCTCTGGAATGGAAGCAGAGGTCTGATCTTGGTCCATGCTATGTGAATCATCATTGACCTCATGTTGACTCTGACTGAGTTCTGATCGTAGTTCAGAATATTCATCTTCTTCTCTGAGGAATGAAACATAAAATATTTGGAATAAATAAACAGAAACTGAGCAAATGTAGTTTAATAATTTAAAATGATCAAAGATGCTTTTTTATAGATATTCTATATTACATTCAGTAATATCTGTTTGTAAGATCTAGAACATTAATACAATGGTCAATGAAGGGAACATAAAGCATAAAATTGATCACAGAAGGTATTGAAAGTAAAGCTACAGTACATTCAGTGCTTTGTACTAGTATTCAGTTATTTAAACTCTGCTTTCAAAATGTTATTTTATTTATTTACCATTTGTAACTTCCAGGTTTTCAGAACAGCACAGAAATGGTCAGAAATACATAGCTTATACAATTCCACTTTCAACCCAGGTCTATCTAATCTACTTTCAGGGACTTCTCACATTTTTCTTGCATTATTCTTTTGCTAGTGGGTGGGGTGTTTCACTTTTAAGAAATTCATTATTTCACAATATTAATTAGCAGTACATAAATGAACAGAAAATATATCAAGTTGGAAAAATCAGTCACTTTCTTTCACAGAAGGTTATAGCTAGGAATTATCTTCAGTAGCACATCTCTTCAGGCATGCTAAAATTAATACTTTAAGAACTACAGAAGTCATTATTTTTATACCTTAAAAGGAAATTTATCTTACTGTGTTGACACATTGTACAGCAAACTATTTACAAATATTTCAATAACACATTCCAATAGAAACAGATTTTATTTAAATATATACAGTAGTTCAAGGGGTTTCTCCTTCCTAAGAAAATATTAAGTGCAACTATTCAGCTACAATTGAAGGCAGTAATGGAATACTCCGGACGCCCACAAAATTCCTTCAAAGATGCCTAGATTCAATTGGCTGAAGACTTTCCTTTAAGAGGATAGCAATTGTTTGTGATCAAATGCTAGCTGTTTCTGATAAAAGGAAAACATAAAATTATTACTTCCTCTTCGTGTAAGTGCACAACTATTCAAATTATCAAAACTAAATTCAAATGAGAAGTATTAGTTTATTAGGAGAACCAAAAATATTCAAAACATGCCAGAAGTTTGTTTAAAGTTGAGATCAAAGCTATATATTTATTAAATAAGAGAACTAAATTCTAAATAGCACAGTAACTGGCACACAAATCAAAATATATGATAATGAAATATTGGTTAATGCTCTATGAATACTTAATTACTGGGAACATTACACTCCAATAATAATTAGCCTTAAGCAAAAAAACAATTACCATGATGTTGAAGACATGTCTTTTTTTTGGTTAGAAGGATAATTTGTTTGCATGCTTAGTCAACTCTCTGCAATTAGTCATTCATTTCAAAACTTGAATTACTTCTTTCCTGGTGAAAGAGCTTATCACCATATTAAAACTGAACACACAAGATGCAATGAATCTCAAATTTGCTCTATTTAGCCAAATTGGGTTAAATTCAAACTAGGAGGTAATGTTAGCTTTTTCTTTGTGAAAACAAACATTGCATACTTGTTATAGCTGAACACAGTGCAACAATCTGGAGAGCATCCCTTACACATGCAATTTCCTTATTTTAAAGGAAAGACTGATCAGTCTTCTTCTCTAGTTTTCATTTTAGAGAATCCATTGAAGGAATATCTTTTTCAAAATTAATTTAGTTTTGAAAGAAATCTGTCTAACATATTTCAGTTTAGCATGCTCCCTTTATTTATAACATATGCAGGCTAATAATCTGCCTCATGTTGATATTAGTATTTCTGAGTTAACTTAAGTATGACTTCATTGCACAATTGTGTTTCCCACATGCCTCTTTATGCCGTGCATTTTTTTCTTGCATATTTTAGTACATAAGTGCTCCCATCTCACCTAGATATCACATATATTAAAAATATACAAAATTAAATATAATTATACGAATCCAGTAAGTACTTTCTTCAAAAATGTGTTGTACCATCTCTTTTATTTGAGGTATCACAGCTTTTGATTTCTTGGTATTCTACATCCCTAATCCTAACATTTCTGGCACTAGGGACTGGTTTTGTGGAAGACAATTTTTCCATGGACCAGGATGGTGGCGTCTGTTTGCGCAACCTAGATCCCGTACATGCACAGATGAAGCTTTGCTCATTCGCCCACCATTTGTGAGGCCCAGTTCCTAACAGGGGTTTGGGGGCCCTGTTCTAGATGTATTGGTCATACTGACTGAGAATTGTGAAGTTCAACACATCGGGAAGACTCTAGGCTATGGAAAATTGTATTACAGCAAACACAGTATGACTCCAGACTGAAAGTTATTTGTGTGTGGCTATTTAGTAAGTGTATGGCACATGTAAACATTTCAAGTTGAACATGTTACGGAAATTATAACTGCTCATTTTCTTTCAAACTATTACCTAGCTGAGGATACAGTTTTCTTAATACACATTTTTGGAATCAGCCTCTTTTTAAGAAGACTGTCATATTTTTTCTCAGAGTTTTTAAATTTGGCATTTTAATATTTCAATACTGTTGCTGTTTAATTTTGAGACTTCAATAAAGTTGTTGTTTACCTTAGGCATGTGTTATTGTTGTTTTAATTGAAAATGTAATTGATAATTAAAATAATTACTAAAGACTTTAGCAGTCTTCCTTCCAGAAGAATTAGAGAAGGAAGACTAATACGTTCAAATCACAAATACCATCTTCAATGATAATTTATCTTTTCAGAAGATATTATATAAAATTTTCAATGATCTAATACATGGTCCTAATGAGAGCATATTAAAGTCTGCATAACCACTAATGCTTCAAGAAATATCATGTATTTATCAGGGTATTTTTATTTTTATTTTCAGCATCCAGCCAGACTGGATTTTTTTATATGTTTAATGATGGATGTTTGGGTCATTTTTTCCCTTTTTTTCCTTTTATATACACTTTTTTTCTTTTTTGTTGTTACTGTTGGATGTATGTTTTTGTGTATATAATAAATATATACATAAAAAAAGAAATATCATATATATGACATTGTGGACACAGCTAATTGCTATGCTATTTAAATTTATTTTTGAGAATTATTAGGTATACATAATAACAGAACTATTTTGAAATATGCTGAGTTGATGAAAGCTCTACAAAAACCTAGTTTTCTAGTTACTAATCGTTGATTGTTATCATTTATCCTTCTAATAACAGATCATATATATTTGCTTTTCTCATTAAACAAAACACAAGAAATTATACAAATTACACAAACTTTTACTCCTCATACACTCCTCCGCTAAGGAATTAATTTGGGATGCTGACAGGGTGTGTACACAGTAATTCTCTCATGGTTTCACACACAATCTAAAAACTGGCTCTTTTCCAACTTTCATTCTGTTTTAATCAGTGCTGCCACAATACCTTGATATCTATGGTTTGAAATCCTCTGTGAATAAAAGAGTTGTTATAATTCAACTTATGTTAATATTTGCGTTACGTCTTCTCACTGTTAGTTCTCTCATATGAACACTGATTAACAATCCTCCATTTTTTTCTGACCTTTGGGTAATCTGAATGGGTGACTTTGTTCCCGTGTGCAACAAATCAATTTTGTGAAGTTAAAAGATTTATATTCTAAGGAATATGGAAAAAGGAAAATCCTTTTTGAGTGTAAAGGGAAAAAAAAGAAATTGAATTTTATTTTTTCATTAGGGTTAGGGTTAAGAAAAATAAGAAATTTCCCTCATAGCAAATTTATAGTTAAAATAAATATACAGCATCAAAGCATAGAATAATTTGCTATCAAGATAAGTTTTCACAGAATACTAAATGACAGTGTATAGCAGAGGTGGCGAACCTATGGCACACGTGCCAGAGGCGGCACTCAGAGCCCTCTCTGTGGGCACGCATGCCGTGCCCCGGAGATGGTGAGGGACTGGCCCCTGCCACCCTGGCCCCGCCCACCCAGTCTGCCATGACCACCGCGGCCACGCCCACATGGCACCCGGTGATAAATAAGTGGGTTTTGGGTTGCAGTTTGGGCACTGGGTCTCTAAAAGGTTCGCCATCACTGGTGTATAGAATATGTCATAGACCAGTAAAGATCTAAACAGAAGCTAAAACCTCTATATTCGCTAGATAAGCATTCCTAAAATTAAGAAGAGTTAATCAAATACAGTTTGCTTGTTTCAAGTCATTATTTCAGATACTTCCAAAAGTGGCAAGGATAAACTGATCTAAATTTATTATATAATCCACAACATAATAAATGGACATTAGAAATGTTATTTTAATTAAACTAAATGAGAAACAAGTCTCCACCCTCAAAAGCTTATAAAAATCATATATTTTGAACTAACATCTATTTGATGAATTATACAAACACATACAAGTCTTTATACAGAATAAAGAAAAAATAGCAAACAGCAATGATATTTACCCTTTTAGCTAATTTTTTCAATAGGAAAATAATGATTTCAAATGGTGAATATTGTCAGTACTCCTTTGCTTGCATTAATGAATTTTAGACCAATGCCTCTATTTTTAGTAGAAGAATTAGACCTTTTGAGGCAAACTTTATAGCATATTAAAGATTCAACGACGTAGTGCTTAGCTATCTTTTTTTTAATTATTCATAGGTACATTATAATGTAAAAAAATCCTAGAAGGAAAAATGGTAAGTTATTTTCATAACCCTGGCAAAAAAAATCTAGTATGCCAAAATTGTGGAAACCTTTTGGGAAAAGTGTACAGTAGAAATGCCATCTTTGGTTAAGTTTCCACCAATTTTTCTTCTAATTTCTTTATAACTGTAGCCTTGTTCATTTAATAATACTATTTTACATTGTTTTCTGGGCAACCAGTTAACTCTTTGCACCATTACTTTAATTTTGTTACGTTTTACAAGCTCACTAAATGAAAGAACACAAAAAACCTCAACCAACTTGATAGCGATCACATAACACACTGACAAATATCTTCCTCTCAGCTTCAATAGATGACATTAATAACTGAATCCTACTGTGATCTGATTGGCTCATTGCCAAAACAAGATGACATCTGATTGGCTCTCTAAATACTCATGCTCATTGGCTACAATCAGATGAAGGAAAGCTACCTGATATCAACCTAAGCAAGTTGTGCTTCCTTTTCTGGTTATTTGGCTATAACTTTTCATAGAACACAGTACAGATAATTGAACAAACTTTGTTGCATTACATTCTTGATTAAATTATCTTTCCATTGATATATAATTTTATGGTACTACTCCCAAAAAAAGTGGTGCTATTAGCCATCAAACCTCAAAAATACACTTTTCCCAAAAGGTTTCCACAATTTTTCCCACTACTGTATTTACACCTCTAAGATACTCTAGAGTTATCATTATAACTTTCATCACTCCACATGTTTTTAAAAAATCCTTCCACTACTAAGTCTTAAAAACTTATAAAAAGTTGAATTATTTGCAAATTTACTTTGATATTTTTAATTACCAGTAGACTAAATCATAATCCAACAGAAAATATTAGATATGAAAATCACACTTTAAGTTATTAGCAGACTATTCTTCTCATCCTTGCGGCTTTCCCAACTATCCTTCCTAACATTTAGCTACTCTGCTCCCTTTCCCTGTTTTAATCTCCATAGGGATGTGGGTCTAATCACAGGCAAATTTCTTTAGCAATGCAGCAAAGCTCAAAAAGTTCACAAGGCCATGACTATATAGGGAATCCTTAATGACCCAAAAGATTTTAATTTCCTTGTCTATATTTGAGCTGATAAGGTTAAGGATTATGCATGCATAGAACATAAATTGTAAGCAAGGACAGTTTGTGACAATGTATAATGTTATTATTAATCACATGATATATCATTATTAAAGCATCAGTGTTAGCTTTCAATTTCCTAAGTCAGCCACATGAGATATTCTTAATGTTGACCTTATTCTGGCAGAAAAATACAAAATGAATACCCTATAATAAAAGCTGAAGCTTATCATCTGATACTGAACAGAGCCTTAAAATATTTATTAAATAACAATAAAACTTTCTAGTGACTATATAACTGGAAAATGTTTTTCACATCATTTTTTAAAAGTTAAGAATCGTAACATTAAAAAGGGAATTGTAATTTAAAGTATTTTTCCACTATTATATTTTGAAAGAATTTCAATACGATGCCCTTTTAAAAAAATACAATGAAAATACATTGAGCTATAACTAGTTCACTTATCCAGTAGGCGATTCTAATTTCAAAATCATATCACTTAAAAAGAGATAATAAAACTTAATTATTTCTGTTATTTCCTTTATTGCCTTGGTAACATTATAGTTTTATTTGCCACATAAGCAGGAAGTTAACCTGATCTATCACAACAATCGTCATTTAAATTTTTCCTTATTAGAAGTCAAGATTATAGTTTTCTGTATACTTGTTATTAAATTTTTTTTGTTAAGAATTACATTTTAAAACATTGAACTATCGAATATGTAAGAATATTAGTATTTTTTATTAATGGTGTAATTTGCAAATTTATCTTTTAACATTTGTTAACCAAGGTCTATTTTATAGAACTAATTTTTATAATGCCCTCTGAAAAATCTTAGATCAACCTTCTCTTCTCTGGCAACCTATAGACATATTCTAACTAGTCTTAGTTTATCTGTTAATTCTTTGCCTGGTCAGCTATATTACAATTCAGAAAACACTCATTTTTGATTATACTCTATGTTTTAATATGATCCTTGGGGCAAAGATACTGTGTACCAATGACCATGGTTGATTCCAGCTAGGCTTCTACTTGGGCAGCACTTCACAAATGATGAGCGAAGTGATATACTAATGGGGTAGGCAGTTCCCAAGTCTTAAAGAGATTTTTATGTAAAACCATGCATTTTAAATTTGACATGGAAACAATGATGTTTACCAATCATGGTAACCCTTGAAGCTGAGGCTGGACCCTACCCAATAGAAGCCTGGCCATAGGATTCTGGATCTGCTGTGGTTGATTGTTTCTTCCAAAGGTATTCAAATTCCAAAACACAGGAATTTAGTCAATCTATTTTGTTGCATACCAAGCAGAAAAGAGTATATTTGACTTCATTACAGTAATTACAACTTCCAAGCCACTCTGCCACAATAACTCAGAGCTAGAATGCTGATTTTTGCTGTAACAATTTATGAACACATAATTTACAATGCTACAGCCTTTTTTTTTTACAAACTTTTGGTAACAAGTGTTTTTAAAAACTAACTAGCACTATTTCAGATAGTTTATCTTTCAAATCTCATATTAAATTGTATATAACTGCATCTCTTTAAAAATATGTTTTCCAAGCAGCTGGAGTGTAAACAATTGCATTGTTGTAAGATAATTCAGAATGATAATTGGCTTGACTTTTTAATTATCATGTCATCTCCATCAGATGCATTTGAAAGTGTTAATGCCTTATCCAACTCATATTGCGGTATGGTTTCGTGTATGCTTTGTTGAAAAAATTTGAAATATTTTTGACAATACTAAAAACCACATCAACCCTGTCATTAAAGAAAGTCAGACTACTTAGAGAAGAAATATATATAATATTGCACTGCATTGAACACTCTCTGCTTACATTTATTTTTGAAGTCATTAAGTCATTTCTACCTGTGCCATTCAGTCCAGTAGGAGTGAATGGCAACTGGCAGGGCCCAAGAAGAAAACCTTTGAAGTTCTGGTACTCCACTCTCTGGAATGTCATTCCTTCAGGCACCAGGTTGGTTTCTTCCCTGTTGGCCTTCCATAAGGCCTTGAAGATGTGGCTTTGTGCTTGAAACTGGAAGCCCTAGAGATGGGCCCCCAGTTTGGTTATATTGACTGTTCAATTGGGGCTTTATAATTTTTTCTGGTGCTACGGGTTTTATATTTTTTGCGTATGTTTTTATCAGGATTTTTATTTTGTTAGCTGCCCAGAGTCATGAATATGAGATGGACAGCCATATAAGCCCACTGAATGAATAAGAAAGAATAACAAATAGAATTGCATTATGAACTTATTGTTATAATTTGGTATGGATCTTACTTTGTTTGCAAAGTCTTACATACATAGATGATACTAGATAAAAACTATTAGTCTTCATTACTAAAATGTTACTCTCCATATATTTTGCATACTTTGTACATGTAGTTTTACCATCTATTGATAAAAGCTTGTGATTTGGACAACAAATCTATGTAACACTAAAGAGTTTTTCTTGTATAAAACCAATGGATCAGAATAGTTGGTAGAATTAATATGGACTACTCATAAATAATACTCATTTATAGTCAAGAGTGTGTGATGTCTTAATGTTTCAAGGATAGACAGCTCTGGAAGATGTTAAGAAACTAAAGAAAGGTATTAAGAATCATCTAATGGCATAAATGGTCAGCAAAGCACAGTATCATGTTCCCTGGCAAAATCAGGGCACTGCCACTTTCTCAACAACTTTTGGGTGGATTTTTGGAAATGCAATCTTGTTAGAGACTAAAATACCTTTTTCTTTATCATTATAGGGCTCCTGATCTATAATGGAGCAGAGTTTTATCTATGAACCCTCATGCAACTTCTTTTCCAGTACTGGCCTGGAAATTACTGAAATGAGTGTTACAGCTTCTCAATCTCCCTGGTTATTGCAAATAAAACTTGTTCTGCTCCTGTTATCAATAATATAATTTTCTCCAGTGACCTGAAGATTGTTGACAGACAAGCCTCAGGTTGCTCATTCCTATTATAAATAGTTAAGCTTAAGGGTTTTTAAAAATGAACTTTTAATTCTGTGTTATTTGGATAGGTATTAAATGCTAAGGACTTGGAAAGAATGTCCAACAGCTATAGGTGACTTGCTGTTATACTTAAGATATACTTCAGTGGCAAGAGAGTTTATGAAATGTCCAGGATATGAATAAGGGAAGCAAAACACAGAATTCAGTCACTAATCTAAGGTCTGAAAGAATGTATATTTAGAAAGAGAAATTGTTTTCACCAAACGCAAGAAGTATGTTCACATACTTGTTAATAAATACAGTTGTCATTGTACCTTATAGTAGTTCCTTGTAGTCGATCTATTTTCTTATTTAGCTCTGCAATAATGCTATGAAGCTCTGTGATCCGTTCCTCATAACGAAGCGTTGTACGCTCTTGCACATCTTCATGCTCTCTCATTAGGTGAGATTGCTCACACTAAGTAGTGTAAAAAGAAATGTTGAGGTCATATGGAGGCAATATGGAATATGATGCAAGATGGTATTTTACAACCTGTCATCTTACCAAACATATACAAACTTGTAACAGGTTTAGATTAGATAGACTGGTTAATGAAAAATTTCCTTCAAGGTTTAATATAAGCCATAACAATACTCCTTTTTGTGTAAATATCATTTTTGATGAAATTATTTGTCTTTGTAAAAAAAAAAAAGCACCCAATGAAGTTTAGGAAGATAACCTTGCTCTGTGTCCCCAGGCTCTTGGGTCAAAATGAGGAAATTCCCAACTGGTGAAATATAGTATATTATATTTCTGATTGCCATTTACTTGTTTTAGTTTGCTTTATAATGGTACCTTTGGTATTTTTATTTTGTATTTTTTTATTATACATCACCCAGAATGATATAGTTTGAGTTGGCTTCCCATATAAATATACTAAATATACACAGTCACAGCACAGGAATAATGTATTCTCATCACCACAATATAGTTTATAGTCGGTAACTGAAACTATAAACCTTAAACTATAATTTACGGAACTTTTGGATCACACATTCTTTATTCTTTAGTCTATATTCTTTAGTCTACATCCTGCTGTAATATCATATGCATTTCCTGTTCCAGTAAATAGTAAAAAGATTGACTTCTGGATGGTTTGGATCTGCAAAAAAAGGTGACAGTGACATCTGGATGTCATTCCCACTACAAAAAGAGGCCATTTTGCTAAAGAAGCATCCCATCTGATGAGATGGATCACATTGAAATTATTTTTGGCTATGTACTAGTCCCAAACCTAATATTAAAGACGAGGAAGACTCCTACCAAAAACATTGATCTGGAACATTCCTGATGGCAACTTATGCAAAAATATATATGAATCACAGAAATCAGAATGAAAACCCTATTAGTTTTAGGATATTGATACAACAATTTAATGGGTCCTCTCATTTTAGATATAAAACTTTATAATAACATACTGTAGCTTCATTGTAATGAAAGACCGTATCTTTATAGACTCAGCTATGAGACTAAATTTAAATTTTAAGTGATGAAAGTTCCATATCAAAACAGGATCATTACATTACTCAATATATCAATCAAATTATTCATGATAATTTACAAGGTGTGTCATGTCTGAAGTAAGGGGGAGGCTAGTTTTCCATTTAACTCATTTAGAGTAGGCTCAAAGCAGAAAGTAGGAGCAAAACGGGATGCAAATTTGTTCCCTCTTTAGAGTAGCTAGGGTAATGCTTGAATGATAGTGGGTGGATGAGAATGATTAATAATCCTGATATGGGGATAATTTCACATATCTGTTGGGTTTAACTGGATGCAAAATACATATTCCATTATTTTACGGTAAAACAGCCACTGCCTGAAAACTAGACCAGAAATTTATGCTAGATGACTGTGCAATCCATGACATACTGTAACTACCCCATTTGCTTCGCTGGAAAATTATTCATGTTTTTTATGGAAGTGTCAACCAAAATCATTTAAGGAAATTACTTCATGCTATTTTCTCTCTTTTATCACAGCAGCAACTATTTCAGATACAAATTTCACAATATAACATTTTAATTAATTGAACAATTATTTTTAATACTTGGAGATCATCAGAATTTAGAAAACTGATATTAGTTATCTTGTATATTAAAATATTCACAGCCACAAATATAGTACCATAAATCATTAAAAATATTGAATTGCATAATACTAGTATACTGAAGATTATTAAATATTTTTTCTTTAATTAATAATCTGTTTTTATAGAAGAGTATCTTAATAATAATAATAATAATAATAATAATAATAATAATAATAATAATAATAATAATAATAATAATAATAATAAAAAGTTGGAAGGGACTTTGGAGGTCATCTAGTCCAATCCCCTGCTCAGGCAGGAAACCCTATACCATTTCAGACAAATGGCTGTCCAGTCTCTTCTTAAAAACTTCCAGTGTTGGAGCATTCACCACTTCTGGAGGCAGGTTGTTCCACTGGTTAATTGTTCTAACTGTCAGGAAGTTTCTCCTTAGTTCTAAGTTGCTTCTCTCCTTGATTAGTTTCCATCCGTTGCTTCTTGTCCTGCCCTCAGGTGCCTTGGAAAATAGCTTGACTC